ACATCTATTTCAGAGAAATTGTCCAGTTAGGGCTAATGTCCATTTTAAAGGATCATTAATACTAATTTGTTTTGAGTGTTTTGGAGTTGCTTATGCATTCTGGAGATGAGTCTTCTGTTAAATTTATGTATCACAAATATTCTTTTCCATATTTCAGGCTGTTTCTGAATTATGATCATTCCCTTTACTGAGACAAAGCTTTTGAGTTTCATATAATCCCATTTGTCTGTTTTAGTTTTGGTTTTCTGAGTTGGAAGTAAATGGTGTCTTTACCAATGATGGCTCAGCCTAAAGTTCTGGCAGGCAGCAAGAATGATGCAATAGTCTGTATGGTTTGGAGAGGGTCATGGACCCAAACCCCTTGCAAAAAAATCAAAGGGAGTTGCCAAAGAGAGCACTTCAAGTTGCTCTCTTGAATGATGCAGGGCTTTATCTGAGTTTGACTCCTGAGAAAACATCATCCTTACATGCAGGGTAACTCCAGTTAAACTATATAGTATATATTTTAAGAAATTTTATAAAGTAGAACTTTTCCTATGTCTTTAATCCATTTTAGTTGATTTATCAACTGGTAGAAAATGTGGCCTAATTTCATTATTCTGCATATGAATATATTTTTCCCAGGGCTTTCTCCAGTATTTGTTCCTGGCACCTTTGTAGATATTCTGTTAGTTTTAGATAGGTTTATTTTATTCAATGCTCTTTACTGTGTTTTGTTAATCTGGTTTGGAATTCTAGAGAGTAATACCCTGACAAACATGTATTTGCAACATATTATGAAGTCCACTAGTATAACACCTTCTTTGTTCCTTTTGTTAAGATGATGTTAGTTGTTCAAGACTTACTGTAATTTCATAGAGATTTCTACAGCGATATTTCTATTTTGATAAAGAGTATCATTCGTATTGGGATGGATTTTAATGAAAACAGAAAACCTTGCAGCATAAAGATATTTTGATGACAATGATTCTTCTAATTAATTAACTTGAAGTGTGTGTGTGTGTTTGTGTGAGCACGCACACAAGCACACACTTTCTTTTGTATGAATTTTAATGTTTTACAAAAATTTTTAGACTAAACACTGGTGAAATATATTATAACTTTTATTGTGTACCTATAATAACTAGGCTTGTTTTATAGTTGTTTCATATAATTCACATTGATATATAGTGATGCTATTGATCTTTCACATGTTTACTTTTAGCTATAGTTGAATAATGACTAGTTCTAAAATGTCAATTTTACTAATTTTGTCCTTTGACAATTATATATATAATATATAAACATATATATGCAATTATATTAATATATATGCAACAGTTTGATTATCCTTTCCTTCACCTTTTATGGTATCATTTTCATCAGTATCAGCCCACACTGTACCCTAAAAGTCTCTTTCTCAAATCCATGACTTTTGGGTTTGCTTTATGACCAATTTATCTTATCCAGAGATGTCTGTTTGATCACTGGCTTGTATTGTGACACTCCCCTGGAGCCTGATGTGGTCATCAGTGCTTGCACAACTGAGAGCATTGATTCCCATCTCCTCGAATCTACCATAGGTAAACAGCTTAGCACTGAGAGAGGGTTTCTCTGATCCTCTCCTCCATCCATGCTTGACTGTTATTCATTAGTTGTAGATGGAGTGGTGGTGGGCCACTTCCCACCGCTGGCCTGGCTAGCTTTACCTGAAATAATTACTTGAAAACTATATTCATTTAAGCACTGCTTGGCCCATTAGTTTCAGGCTCTTATTGGCTAACTCTCACATCTTGATTAACCCATTTCTAATAATCTGTATAGCACCATGAGGTGGTGGCTTACCGGGAGGATTCTAACCTGCGGCTGTCTCGGAGAGGAGAGTCATGGCGACTGCCTCATTGCCTTCTTCTTCCCAGCATTCTGTTCTGTTTACTCCACCTATCTAAGCTGCTGTCCTATCAAAAGCCAAGGCAGTTTCTTTATTAACCAATGAAAGTAACACATAGACAGTTAACCCTCCTCCATCAATTAGCCATTCACAATTCTTCTGTGGAATATTCTCTGTCAGATCCAGAATATATTTTTAAAGTTGGCTTGTTCTTCTGATGTTTAGATTTTTTTGTTCTTTGTGTAATTTAGGTATAAATTCCTTTTCAAATGTAGAGCTGGCAAATATTTGTTCTTTCTGTAGTCTGCCCCCTTTTGACTTGGTAGGATTTTTCCTTTGCTTAAGCTTTTTAGTTTCATGAGATCTCATTTGTCAGTTCTTTTTTTTTTACTTTTGTATACAGTTTTTTTTATTAACTTTTATTGAGCTCTACATTTTTCTCTGCTCCCTCCCTGCTTCTCCCCTCCTCCATTCAACCCTCCCCCAGGTCCCCATACTCCCAATTTTCTCCATTTGTAAGTTCTTGCCTTTATTTCCTAAGCAAATTAGATTCTATTTAGAAAGTCCTTACCTGTTCCTATGTGTGGTAACATAGCTCTTCTTGTCTAACAAGTTTTGGATTTCATGCTGAGCTCTTTGACCCATTTGGAGTCAAAATGTGGGCAATGTGACAGATATGGTTCTAATTTCATTATTTACAGATAGACATTGAGGTTCCAAATACCATCTATTAAAGATACTGTCCTTTCTCCAGTGTCTATTCTTGGCATCTTGGTAAAAAGTCAGGTGGCTATAACTTTATGGACTTAAAATCTAGTTCTTCATTACATTTTTCTATGTGTCTGTTTTGTTTTCATTTCTATGCATATTTTATATGTTAATTGTATATATTGCCAGTGTGGATAAAGTGTTTATTAATTTCAGAAGTTTTCTGGTGGAATTATTTTTTTGGTTCTTTCAATGATAGAAGAATAATACAAGAAAAGTCAGAGTATCCTTGCTTGTATGGATATCAAATATCAAACTGAATCACTAATTTTATGTTTTCACGTTGGAATTCTGTAGAAGCTAGAAAATTAAAAACCAGAGCATTGGGAGGAGGATGTATCAAGAAAGGAGGGATTGGCGAATTTAGCTAATATGACAGCATAAAGAATACTGGAGATTCAAGGCCATAAATAGTGTACGGGTATGGGAATAGTGGAGTTCGAGAACTAGAAGCTAATGAAAATGAATGAGACATGGAAAAGTCGTATGGGAACCTAACCAAATATTTATAATTTATTTAAGATCATTGCTTCCTCATTATTGGTTCAAAATGTTCATATGGTCTGTAATCTCTAGGGCTACTAGAAATAGCTAATTACTTCTTGAGAAATATTCATGGAGTTTATAGAACTGTGTGTAGAGATAGTTTAAACACATTTTTCATGCAATTCCATATTTTAGTTTTATTTTTATAAGTGATATAGTCATTTTAAATTTTAGGAAATGATCTTCAAAACCTAGGTTGTTATAGGAAAAATTATTGTTTTGGGATTAAATCCTGAAAGAATAGAAAATCTGTAGTTTTTAGTGGCATGTAGAGACTGCATGAACATGTGATTTTTTTTTCTGTGTTAGTTACTAGGGAAATATAAACCTATGCAGATAAATTGTGCAAGAAAAGCATTGCAAAAGAAATAGCATAGCTGTTGAGAAGTTCTAGAGATAGATTACTCTCCAAACAAAACTGATGCTGGTATGGAAATACAAGTTGGCAGATAACCACAGGCCAACTCTTCACCCCTTTGTGATAAAATGGAATCCTGCCTTTAAATCTGAAGGGGAAAAACCCCACAACATTGCATGTAAACTACCCGAATATAATTACGTCGAGTGAAACCTAGAAAATGTAGCCACCATATAAGCCTGGGTAGCTGAAGGCTCACAAAGGTGATTGCTGGCACAGTCTAACCAGATGGATCAGAAAGACACTGGTAATCACTCTATGGAGTTCTGCTGCCTACTAAAATCTGCCAGTATTTTCCCTCACAGTCTTGGGTTTGTGCTACATAACATTCAAGTCTAATTGCAGACAGAGCAAGACAAGTTTATTGACTTATTCAAGATAGACATTGAATATTTATTATTTTTATATGATTTTCTTGCATTGACTAAAAAAAAAACAAAGTAAGTGGGCCATTTATTCTCTGTACACAGTAGGGAAATGTGAAAATACCTTTTGCTTTCAATGTGCCTGGAGCAGACAGGTTTTGTAGTGCTAACTTCTAGGACAGCTGAGCTTATTACTGTACAATCTGAGGGTGACATTTAGCAATACCAGAATCTCCATCTTTTCCTCTTTTCTTCATATTAAAGTGAATATTGTTGAATAACTCCACTATCTACTTTTCCCATGCTTGTGCTTAAGCAAACACTATCATGAAAATTAAAGTAAATATAAATATATACCATATATGAATTTATAATAAATAATTTAAAATGTATTGTAATTTGATTCTTGGTTTTCCCCACAACTTACCCTAATAATTGGTATTGCATACATACATACATACACACATATATACATACATATATACATACATACATACACACACATACACAGTGAATATTTATAATCCTCCCAAATTTTAGGCCTGGAGATGATGCACAGTAGAATGGGAGGTGGAGGGTGGAGAGTGTGACTGCAGAGACAGCTGAGAAGTGCGCAAGGAGCAGTGGGGGAGGCCAAAGCTGTTGGGGAAGCAAGCCCAGAGGTTATTACCTACAAAGGAACCTGGGCCCCATGGATTAAGCCCCTATTCTTGCTGTCTCCTGACTCCAGACCAGGGCTGGGAGTTCTCTGGGCAACTTTCTACAGGAGCAAAGTACACAGAGATGTTGCTGCCCCTTTGTGATAAAGCCAGAGGGTTTCCAATTCTGCATTCCTCTGTCGCCCCTGGCTTGGGTCGGGCCATATGATAGACAGCTGAACTCTATTCCATGTTTCAGCAACAGTAATTTTCCCGGTGCGAGCCCACCAGCGCCACACTCTGGCCCAGAGTGAGCACTACAAGCGTTGCTGGCCTAATGAATGGGATGGGGGAAGGGATGGGACAGGGGCTAGAAGAGGGGCTCCAGAGGGCCATCAAGACTGAGGCACTACACGCATGGTGTTGGTGAAGTCAGAGCCAGGGCTCCACCCAGTCAACACAATGACCACAATCTCCTTATTGAAGAAGTCTCGGGCCTTGCCAACATTCATGGCCAAATTCACACGGAGGTCTACATCCTCAGCCCAGGCGTCCTGTACTGCATCCTTACACAGAACAGGGAAGATGCCATGGTACAAATGTGCCTGGCGAGCTGTCTGGGGATTGTGCATCACAGCAATGTTGGGAGCACGTGGGCGGTACCTGGCCACCTGGTGAGCACTCCTGCCAGACTTGGTGAGCACGATAATGGCCCCATTGCAGCACTTGAAAGAGGCCTCCACAGCACCCACGGCAGCAGCTTCTGTGGGGTCGCTGGTATTAGGTGCCAGACGGCGAAGTTCTTCAAATAACTGCAGGTAGTAGATGGCAGACTCTGCCTCATGGGCAATCAGGTGCTGTATGCCAACTGCCACCAGAGGGTGGTCCCCTTTGGCGGTTTCTCCTGACAGCTTGATGCAGTCTGCTCCATCTAGGACTTCATTGGCCATATCACTGCCCTCAGCACGGGTGGGGTGGGGCTTCTTGATCATGCTCTCCATCATCTGTGTGGCACTTATGACAGGCTTCCCAGCTCGGTTGCATCGTCCAATCATCATCTTCTGAGCCAGGAAGATCTGCTCTGCAGGAATCTCAATGCCCAAGTAACCATGAGCCACCGTGATCCCATCACTGACCTCCAACATCTCATCAAACCTGAGGACATCTTCGTGGTTCTCGATTTTGCTGATGATCTTGATGTTCTTGCCCTTCTCTCCCAGGACCTTCCTAACCTCGTGAACATCAGCGGCCTTGCAGATGAAAGACGCAAACACCATGTCTACATCCTGCTCCACCCCAAACTTCAGGTCCCGAATGTCCTTTTGTGACACAGCAGGGAGGTCCACAGTGGCTCCAGGGAGGTTCACCCCCTTCTTGCTGCCCAACGAGCCACCATTCTCCACCTTTGTCACCAGGAAGTCAGCGCCTTTCTCCTTCACCTATAGTGAAATAAGCCCATCATCTACGTCGATCTTGATGCCCACTTCCACCACCTTATAGATGTTCTTATAATCCAGCCACAGGATGTTCTCGTCACACTTTTCCATGTAGGCACTGTCCACGGTGATCTTCAGGGTGGCTCCCTTCTTCAGCTTCACTTCTGCAGTGCTGCTGCCTTTGAGTCCAGTCCGGATCTCAGGCCCCTTTGTGCCTAGAGCCACAGCATCAGGCTGGTAAAGAATGGGATCAGAAGCGAAGCTTTCTGGGGCTGCATGCACGTTCTTGATAGTTTCTGCATGGTACTCATGAGTTCCATGAGAGAAATTGAGACAAGCCACGTTCATTCCTGACTTGATCATCACCTTCAGCATCTCCACAGACTGGGAAGCAGGAGCAGTAGTACAAATGACGCCAGTGTTGCGGGCCATGATGGGTGTGGAGTCAATGTCCAGGCGGCACATATGTTCCAAGAAGGTGTCAGCCATGGCTGTATGGAGCTGCTGGGTTTGAATGAAGGCAGTCCCTGTTTTGCTGTGTGGTTTCAGCTTCGTTCCTGAAGTCCTCGGGCGTACTCCGGATCCTGCATCCATACCCAAATCAGACGGCTGAAGGGTCAGGACGAGTTTCTGTTGTACGGGCACAAAAGCATCTTTAAATACACTACCTTTTTACTTTTATGAGAAGATCCTTTTGAGAAACCTAAATCTAGTATACATATATAGTTATTCATTGATCATAAATTGTTTATTGCAGTTTTTCTTTCCAAACTATTTCTCAACTCTGTTTTTCTGGTTGCCTCTTAAATACATTGAAACACTTGAAGAAAACAAACAAACAAACAACTCAGTGTGGCCACTTTCATTTTCCTTCTCCTGTTTCATTGAGGTTTTATCCTGGTTTTAGCCAGCCGGTGTTGTAACTTTTCTAGAATGTTGCCTAATGATTTCAATGTTCTCTTGTTATAGTACTTTCTATGTATTCAGTGAGGACACAAATCCAGTTGCTGGAGAACAATAGTTAAACAGAACTCTAAAGTAAGTTTTCTCTCTCTTTCTCTTTCTCTCCCTCCCCCTCTCTCTGTCTGTCTCTGTCTCTCTCTCTCTCCCTAGAAAGGAAGCTGCCACAACAGCATTTCTTGGAAGAATCTTCATAATAATTTTTTCTTCATTCAAATTGCTCTGATCTGCACCTCCATGGTAAAAGGTTGGTAAAAAGTTGGCTATCACATCCACATTTTACTAGATAAGGGAATGGGAAATACATGATTAGTATGTTCTGTTATTTTATCAGTGTATCAGCAATGACATTATCCCATGCAACTGCACTGAGCAAACTGGGGTGGTTTGAATGAGAATCAACCCCTTAAGTTCATATAGCTGAATCCTTCATGTCTTGTTAGTGGGACTATTTGGGCAGGGTTACTATGGTGACATTGTTGGAAGAAATTGTCACTGTCTTTGAGATTTCAAAAGATTTATAGGATTCCCAGTATTTTCTCACCCTGCCTCTTACCTGTGGATGAACAGGTAAGCTCACAGCAGTTCCTGCTGCCATTCCTTTGTTCTGCCATCACTGACTCTAACCTGTTGAAAAAAAAATGAGTCCAAGCTAAACATGTTCCTTTATTAGTTGCTTTGTCCATGGTGTCTTACTTCAACAAAAATAAAAAAAAATAACTAAGTTACTTGGAAGCATTGATCTTAGCTTTGTAGATGTCTAAGTGATAATTGGAAGTCTGGGTTTCTCAAACAGACACCAGAAGCTGAGGACCAAGTATCAGCTTTTGATTTCCATCCATCTCCGAGGTCATACTGTCAATCTAAGTTTAACATGATTTTTACCTTGCTCTTACAACACTTCTAGGTAGCAATCACACATATATTCTCTTCTTGAAATGTTCCCTCAGCCTGACTTCATGCCTCAGGAGTCATATTATTTTCTCTTATTTCTCTGTAAGGTCTTTGCAAATTCATTTTCTTCTACCTGTGAAGAGCTAGAGTTCATCATATGAAACACAAGACTCCTTTTTACTTTTTTGTATTATTTTATGTCTATTTAAAAAATTCTATCCTTGACTTCAAACACCATATGTAAGAAAATGTTTTCCTGAAATATTTTCTTCTCTTTTCTCTCATAATTTATGGCCCCATTCAAGTATTCTTAAAATACTCTTTATGGAAATAATGAAACTGATGTGCTTGTGTGTTGAGCAATGCTCTGTCTGAAATAAATTTTGGTGGAGTTGAAAATTTGAGTGATTGGAGTAGCCTTGGTGTTATGTAAAAAAGAGGGACACAAGAAATTCAGTGTTTGAATGTGTGACTTTGAAGTACTGGCAACCTTGGTAAAATTCTTCATCTGCCAAAAGTTATTCAGAAAGGTGATTCTACAAGAATGATCACTAAGAACTCAGGGTATGTTGGCATTTGCATCAGAGGGAGTATTAAGCAAGAAAAAGGCAGAGATTTTTCTGGGATTCTTTTTTGGGTGCTTCTGGCTTTGCTGAATTACCTGGCTAAAGTGACACAGCCCATTTTTTCACAAAATGGTCATTGAATGGAAGACTCTTTTCAGTGTGGACCTCAATGAACTTACACATTTCTCTGGAATGTTAGCTGCAGAATATTAGCAATCTTCCTCTTCATGTGTAGGAAAAGTATTTCTTCTCTGTAGTGTGATATTACTCTATCTGTAGATGGTCAGCTGTTAATGTTACTTTATATGTTTTACCTGAGGGGTTTTTTTTAGAATTGAATATTTAAGATAAATATCAGATTATTGAAATGTGTAGTTTCCTCACCTGAAAGTACTGATTATTTCACACATTCTATTTTTCCATATTTAGACATGAAAACTGATCTTAAGTGTTACATTGTTTTGACAGTCCTGTGAAAATATGAAGTCATCCAGACAGAGTAGAAAAAGTTTATAAAGTTGTTACTCGTCAACGAACATCACTCCTGGATGAAGTGAAGCCTATGAGTGCTTATACTGCTTTCTCAGCAACACTTTCCCGTATCAGAACTCCCAAGAGCAAGGAACATGATTTCCTCACTGAGGTTCTCCAACAGTCAATTGCCCACACAGGAGGCACTCGATATTGAGATTGTGTTATTTGTTTAGAATCAAAGAAATAGGTGCATCTTAAGGTGAAACTTCTACTGAAACAAGAAAATGAACTACATCTTAACTGAACCATTATTTAAAGCTTAGTAGATTGGGCAAGAACTTTCAAAGGTCATAAAATAAAATGTTCCTGTTATTAGCATTTGCATGTTGAAATCCTCATACTAGTTTTTGGCTTCAGTTTGTTTGATTTGTTTCTGAAAATGGAAATGGAAAATTGAAAGAACCCAAGCATCCTTCTTCAAACACTATAAAGCTTGGGGGAGTCTTTTATTTTTTACTAGTGTGCCACACAATTTATCACGGTTATTATGGCAACTATGTCTGCCTTTAGGGGAAGTCCAAATCAGGACATCATATTATCCCACTTCGGCATGACTCTGCAGCCAGATGCATCACAGTGAGGCGGAGTGCTATACTGAAACAAACCACCATGGACAAGTATGAAAAATGATAACTTCTGATCCCTGCAAGATGCATGGCTATGTAACACTTTAACTATCTTCCATTCCCTGGCTTTTAAAGCAATTATACTGTAGGCTGCAGGGTACACTTTTAGATGCAATTTTCTATCTGCAAACTTTTCTCTATTAAATACTTTTTCAGCATGAAAAGTTTCATGTTTTTAGATGTGGTATGAAACACATGAATTCTAGAAGCATCTTTAAAGTTCCAGTATAGTGATAAAACAAGGAATACTATCTTAGTTTGAAATTCATTTGTGAAAAATTTGGTACTATATACATATATGCTCTTTGAATGGAAATCAGTACATGTATTTCTGTGTATCTTTATAATTTTTCTTCATTAAAAATGTTACATTTTACTACAAATACTACAAATATGACTAAATAAAATGTAATTTAATGGAAATGTAAATAGATACAAGAAAATCTTTCTTATTTATGAAAACATGGAAATATGAATAAGAATTACATTGAGTTTTCATCTTATTCTGTCATAATGACTGTCAGCAAGAAAATTCTGGTAAATGTAATTGGAAGCTTCTGCCTGCCAGCTCCTGAATAGCCACTTAAAGGCTTACGATTAGTTCAGGCTTATTATTAACTAGCTCTTACAACTTAAATTCATCCATTTCTATTATTCCATATTTTACCATGAGGTTTGTGGCTTACTACCTCACAACTTGCTTCATCAATGACTGCTGGTGTCTCACAGACTTCACCTTCTTTTTCTCTGTATCTTTGCTTGGATTTCTTGTCTGGATTTCTGCCAGTCACTTGGCCAAATCAACTTTTCTTATTAACCAATGGTAATAAAATATATTTACAGCATACAGAGAGGTATCCCACATCATCAGAGTGCTCTTAGATATTGCTATAGAAATTTCGATTAGTGCAGCCACTGCATAAATATATATGGTGGTTCCTCAATTATAAAACTTAGATATATCATGCTTCAGCATATTTCTCAAATCACGCTGATACAGAAAGATCCCTGTACGTGCATATTCGTGGTGACATTATTTTCAGAGAAGAAGCATATCGTTTTCCATAAAGGACATATTTCAGTATAACTTTTGCCTCAAAGTTGTTATTATAAGGCCAGGTCTGGCCATGAACTCACTATCTTCTTACTTTAGTCTTTAGAGACTGGAACTACAGAATGTACTACCATACCCAGCTGTGTGATACATTTAATGAAATAGGAGATTCTTCAATAGATATGGGTAACTTATGGAAGATATACATTAGCTCCTTGATTTGATAGTCATCAACACTACTTCAACAAAAAATTTCTTTATAAAGTAAACTGTAATAAAAATTTGTTGTGAATTGCCATTTAATCATAAATGGTTGTATACATAAACAAAGTCATAAATAAGCATATATGAATACATTTCCCCAGGTAATATTTTTACAGAGTTCTAACTACTTTGTGCTTATTTTTATAAACTAGAAAAATATTTATGAAATTTCAAGTGTTTTGTGAATGAGCAAAGCAAAGAAGAATAATTCACTGTGTTAGAAACATTAGTAATAGTCTAGTCTATCTCATAGAAATTTTAAAAGAAGAAATCAAGTAACTTTACTCCCTCTTCTCCATATGTCACAAAATTATTCATCAATAGTGAAAGTTTGTTACATGTAATGAGTGTTTAACACTTTTGGAATGGAAAATTTTTTTTCAAGGGGAAAGCTTAAATTAAATGATATCATCAATTATAAATGAAGAATTGGGTGAATGCATTAGTCTTTGTTCTCCAGTCCCTGGTTCATCTGTCTACTTACTCATGTCTTCTTCAGTTTCTTTCATGGTCCCTACAGCTTTGTAGCTTTCCATAGGTGTTATAGCTATTACTCCTGTCCTCTAAAACACCATTGAGAACTGTATTGAAAATTCCATACTGGGCTAGTAAAAGAGTAGGAAAATGAGACACTGAAAGCACGTAAATAAAAATACTAACTGCAATGGTATATTCTTTGAGAGAAAATTCAGAGTA